TAGGATCAGTGATATACAATTAGGTCTTATATATATCTATGCATACGCAATATGCAATCAGGAACAAACATATACAACTGGAGATTAATGATATGTAATTAGGATCAGTAATATATAATTAGATCCTATATATATGTAACTAAACATCTTCAATGTATAACTAGAATCAAATATATGCAATTAGGATTAGTGATATATAATTAGGTCCTATATGCAACTAGGCATCCTTAATATGTAATTAGGATCAAGCATATGCAACTTAGGATCATGGACATGCAATTAGGTCCTATATGTAGCTAGGCATCCTCAATATGTAATTAGGATCAAGCATATACAACTCGGGATCATGGATATGCAATTAGGTCCTATATGCAACTAGGCATTGTAATATACAATTAGGATCAAACATATGCAACTAGGGTTTAAGGATATGCAATTATGATGAGTGATATGCAATTAGGTCATGTATGTATCTAGGCATATGTAATATGCTTAGAATCTAGCATATGCAACTAGGGATCACAGATGTGCAATTAAAATCAATGATATGCAATTAGGTTTCATATGCAACTAGGTATATGCAATATGCAATTAGTATCAAGCATGTGCAACTCGAGATTAAGGATATGCAACTCGAGTTATTTGGTCTTTTTACTCTCAAACTTATTGTCATTTAAGGTCAGGTCCCATTCTACAACTAACTTGTCAAATAGGGACTTATCCCCAATTTTCGTCTTGATATACAATTTAGTCGAAGTTATATATAAATATAAAATATAAATTTCTATAAAACCATGTTATTTATAAGTCTTAAAAACATGTCTAATTTTATCAATAATATGATGAGATAATTATAATTATATATTAAGAAATTCATAAATGCTAATGGGAGAAAAGCAGTGCAATGATCATGAAGAATATAAAATCTGATCAAGTGGATTTAAAAGGTGACAATTGATTTCAAATTTGTCTTATAGCTACATATTGGTTCTCTAGAAGAAGAATGCATACCCTAGGTCAATGATGTATTGTGTGTGTAGTCTTTTTTTTTTCCCGCCAGCATATAGTCTTATGTTATATTATAATTCTCTGGGCTTAAATATAAAATCTATTTTATAATGTAAATATTATATTATTAAGAGGCACACACGAGGCTCCTTGAATGAAGCAAAAGGGCTTATGAAAGGCGGCAAAGAAAGATAACATTAGCGGAGGTTGCTTTTGACAACGAGTTTTATATATATGGTACAACTAAAGCTAAAATTAAATTTAAATAGATTCAAATCTTTTAAAGGGATAAAATACTTAAATATTTCGGAAGTATTCATGAAGAAGCACTTAACACCTAAAAATTTTTCTTGCTCTATAGAAGTTTATTTTCATAACAAAAATGTCCTGACCGTTATTTGTCATTAAATTTGATTATTTAATTATGCGATTTGACCAGTATTTTTAATGGTCAAACTTAACAGCGATTAATAGTTCAAAGCAACAATATTATGAAATATAAAACCTTTATAGTATATAAGAGCAAAAAAAAAAAACACTTTCAGAGTACTTCTTCATAGATATTTTGGAATATTTAAGCACTTTATCATTTTTTTTAATGGTACGATTTGTTTTAGAGATTAAACTATATAAAATATTTTTTTTATAAACATTTTATAAGATGTTTTGTGGGTGGCCATCAGCATCTAAAATTGATCTTTTTAAACCTTCTTTCGGGTAAACACGCAGAAGATTATCACATACACATGTTGACGTGTAAACCAATAGTAAAAGATATAATTGTATACTAAACAAGTTTTGAAATTGACTTTTGTTGACGGTGATGACAAAAAATAACATTATTGAAAATTGTCTTCTATCTATATTGAAAGGCAAAAGTAAATCACCAGACGTAATTCTTAAAAATCTAAGACATCACATGATATTATAATATTCAGAACAAAATCCTCTAAGTATTTGAGAAATTAATCATAAATTAACCTAAAACTTTCAATAGATATATCAATGACAATAAATAACAAATGATATTAGCTCCTAACTCTCTTTTTTCACCCAACAAAAAAATCTCCTAAATTTTTTAGTAAGAATAATCCTCATCACTTTAATAACCCATACCATGTTGTCTTGCACTATCTATACCTTCCTTTATAATAAAAAACCTATATATATAATATATTATTTGTCACATTCATTAAAGTATAGAATTGTTTAGAAAATTTAGTGCAGTACGATAAAAAAATTTATTTTGAAAAAAGAGGAATTAAAGAGGTGTGTCATGACAATCTTGAAACAAATAAAATATCAGAAATCTTGTGCTTCGTGCTGCAGCATGCTGGGATTTTTGTTTAGGAATGGTCACCGAAATCTGGGGCTTGCCGTTATCAAGTAAAAGACACATAAATCCACACATCCACTCACATCTTTTTACACATACATATATGCATACATATACATGTATATGTGTATGTGTATATATGTTATCCAATACATACCTGTGTCAGAATTTAGCGTTATCAAGTTCAATTCGAAAGTAACTCTGTTTTTTTTTTTTTTCAATTTACGATATGAACCCTTATCTTTGGTGAAGGAATCAAGTATTTAACTCATTCACTCTTGACCTTATTATTATAGCAATATGTGTTGACCTATCCTTATTAAGATGTTATACATATATCTGTTTTTTATATATAGATATATTGATGTTTAACACCTAACTCTTTTTTTTTTTTTTTAATGAGAAACACTTAACTCTACATTCTAAGTCCCCTTCGCATAAGAACTGGAAGTTGGACTTTTCAAAAAGTAGTGAAATACATCTTGTTTAGATCGTTAAAAGGCTCGACTTCTACTTGAAAAATTGAGCCTTGGACTTCCTTTAATTTATGAATAGGGAAATAACTTTCTGATAAAAATCTTGGTAAGTTCTACTTACCTAATATTTTTGCTTCGCAAATAAAAAATACTCTTCCGGTCCTTAATATAAGACCCATTTAAATAATTTGATTAGATTAAGGAAGTTAGGTAAGTTAGTTAATTATAAGAAAAGTGACACATTTTCCCTAAAACACCATAAACATCTTTTATAATACCTCCTCTCCCTCTTCTATTTGATTATACTTGAGGGAGTATTCATAAGGGTAATTAAGAGAAAATTGATAAATATGAAAAATGGGTCTTATATTTGGGACCAAAACTAACTTAAGAATTGGGTCCTATATTAAGGACCGGAGGAGTAATATATTTCTTAAAAAGAATAATTGTAACTTCGCAAAAAGTACAAAATTAACTAAGCAACTTATACATATAAATATATATATATATATATTAACTTCATGAAATGTTATCTTCTCATGAAATTGCCTAATTGAACCAAGCGAGGGGTAAACACGTAATTAGTTAATTATCTATCGCAATAACTTTGACCTAAATACGTGCTCATCTTGTATAAATAAATTATGTGGAAGAAATTTTCTAATATGAAGTATTGATTATATTGGCTTACCTGATTACATTATTCTCGTATTAATTAAAGGATACTCATCATATCTTGCAATAAAATAATACAAATTTAGTAAAAAAAAATATTTTTCCAACTTCGTCGATTGTTTGATAATGGTAAGAAATTAAACTTCTGGCCTGAAGAGTGAGACTGAGACCCCCTCTGTAATTAGCTATCATATCTGACCTGTTTCATATATAAATATTAGCTACGATTATTAATGTAAGATATAATTGGAGACCAGATTAATATTTCAATTCATTTTATCTTCTAAATTTATAATTTTTTTAATCAAAATATCCTTATTGAATGTAAAGGGCTCCCATCAAGAAATAATTCCAATACACATAATTATTATAGAAAATAAGTTAGGAAGACATTAAATATATGTTACAAATAATCAATTTAACTAATTTTCTTAATATCTTCAAAATAGTTATCAAATTTTTATATTAGTAGAGGTAGTATAATATTAATGGAAGGATTTGAAAAATTATATCTGACGATCAGAACTGGATGAAAATTACATTAAAGGATATAAACAGATCCCGAAATATAATTTTTTTTTATACCAAAAATGATTTCTTTTCGCTTATGTACGTTAAAGATGGTGGAGAAGTCTGGGTCCTCATCCACAAGATTACTATTAAATTAAACTATTGGCCGCTCCCAAATGGACTTGCTTTAATGGCTGTTGTATGAGTATAATATATGGATATTCTAGAAGCTTTTGCTTCTAATTAATTAAATAATTCGTATACATAATTTTTAAAAAAACTATTATTTTTGAATAAGTCAACCATGGTTAAGTAATTTCTTACTGTTTTTTTCCTTTTTGGGCCAGCTAATTGCTTACTGTTCCATGCTCAATAATTACTAATTTCTTAAAGGATTTATTTCTTCCATTTGCATTATTAAAGCCCAAAAAGACAATTCATGAAACAGAAGCATACGCATAAACTATGCAAATTAAAAACATATATTTTCTTGAAAGCAACACATGTGTATCTGCGCAAATTAAATAAAGAAGAGGAAAAATTACCGAAAGGTCCCTATTTAAGAGTTTTCCTTTTTGCTTTAAAGGGCTTGAATTAAAATGGATGCAGCTCATCTTAGATGTTACAAATTTTTTTTTTTTTCAGTTGTGTGCAAGATATATTTAGTTATGTGCAAAATCTTTTATTTTATACATAGTTAAATATGAGTTGCCCACAACTGCAGAAAAATTGCATTGGCAAAAGTTGAGTTACACATATGAGTCCTTAAACAAATTTTAGTGAGATACTTTTGAGCAATAAATATTTTAAGAGGGGGTTTTTTTAGCAATTTTTTCTTCGGAAAAAATGAAAGGTACCCCAATTAAATGCTAGGTCAATATGATATAATAAAAACCACGTTTTGGGATCCAGCCACCTGTAATTATCAGTTAATACTTTAATACAGTACAACTAACGCTAATTGAGCTTAGCTTTCCAATCACTAATAAGAGGCCTTCCAAGTTCTTCATCCCTTTCATATCTCACACTACTCGCTGATTGAAGATGGCGAATGATCAGACGACGGTGCGTTTTGGTATTATCGGTTGCGCTCAAATCGCCATCAAGCTTTGCAAAGCCATAAGCCGAGCCCCAAACGCGACACTGGTGGCCATAGGGAGTCGTTCGGTGGAGAAGGCTTCGAAATTCGCCGGCGATAACGGGTTGCCGGAGACGGTGAGGGTGTACGGAAGCTATGAGGAAGTGTTGGAGGATGGTGAGGTGGACGCGGTGTACGTGCCACTTCCAACGGCGCTGCATGTGAAGTGGGCGGTGATGGCGGCGGAGAAGCGGAAACACGTGCTGCTGGAGAAGCCGGTGGCGATGAACGTGTCGGAGATCGACCGGATTCTGGAAGCCTGCGAGGCTAACGGCGTACAGTTCATGGACGGCACCATGTGGATGCACCATCCAAGAACGCAGAAGATGAAGGAGGTTCTGTCTGATACGCAGCGTTTTGGTCAACTTCAATTGGTAAGCTTCCTTCAAACAGTAATTAATACGATTTTGATCTGTTTCTTTCTTGATCCATATTCATTACATATGAGTTGGATTTTCTTGTTCTAGGGTTCTTTTCTTTTTTGGTTCGTTTGTTTGTTGATTTTTCCTTCTTGTTTTTATTTGTTGGGAGTGAGTTGGATTGATGCACCGCGAAATTTAATGCAAGAACATGTCAAGTTCGTAAGAAGAAGGTAAGACAGACAAAGAAAGAAAGACAAAATTTGAATTGTAAGTTTAGGGATTCATGGGAAACGGAGATAAATAGGAAAAACTAAAATTAAGGCGTGTGCTGAGATTGAAAGTTGACCCAGATTTTCTGCTTTATTAAGGTAGCTTGGTAGCTTGGATAACCTAAATTTGGGAGTTTCAAGGATTTGGTTCAGCAGATTGACACACACAAATTAAGCATACACACACAGATCCTCTATGAACTTCTTCACGTTTTGACACGAACGTCTAAAATTTTATTTGGCTAAGCAGTTCAATTTTTTTTAAGGAATTGAGCAATATATTTGAAATTAGATTTAATTTGCATAATCTGGTTTAAGGAGAGCACATCCATGAGGTGCTTACCTTAATTCAGATCATTTACATTGATTTTGATCATCCAGATTCAGTTTATTTTTTATATTTTAAATAATTTTGTTATTTTAATAGATATAAATTTAAAATAAAAATAATTTTTTAATCGTATCATTGAAAAAATTACATACTAAAAATTTTAAATGTTTCAATGAGCACTAAAGGCAGCTAATTCAAGAGTCATATGCTCATATGGCTGTGCCTTGGGAGCTATAAAACTCTTCATTGGATGAAATAATGTCACTGCATTGTTTTGAGGGGAGCATAAAACTTGTCTTAAGTCTCAATACCCTAAAATAAATTCTCGAGTTTGTAACTCCGGGAAAATACAGTCAATTAGGCTCAAATTCAACTAAAATTTAAATTAATCAATAATACAAAACATCATGTGATTTGTCGAAAGAAAAAAAAATCATTTTAGGCCGAAATAAGTTGACCATGAACCTTATTTTATTTAACTCACCGAGAATCACCCTCGCTAATATGAATTAGAGGATACATTTTCTGACAAAGAATAACACGGTCATACTTATTAATCTAGAATATCATAGCATACCTTTTTTCTGTTTATTTGATTGTCAGTGCTTTAGAAAACATTAGACATGTTTTTTAATCCCACAAAAAACTAATGATGTAATTGAAAACATTAGGCCAGAACTTAACGTCCCACACATATATAATATTTAATAATGAACGAGTTATCCAAACAATATATATAATATAACACGTGAAATATATTTATGATAAACCAATCAAATAATTAACCTCTTTTTGTTTGAGACAAATTTACAAGACATAGGTATAAGCGCCAGTGCGGTGTATAAAATGAACACCCAGACATGCCTCCAGATAAAAGGCTTAAATGTCTGATCTCTTTTCTGTTGAGCTTATAGCTCAAGATATGTCTACTTCCTTATCGCTCATTTATCTAACAAAATGGCATCATAGTGTATTATATTACTTCCGGTCATTAATATAAAGCTAGTTTAACATTCAATTTGATCCTAAATTTAGAACCCTAATCTATTTTATTTCTCATATTTATCTTTTTTTTTAAATAGTCCTTATAATAGCTGCACATGTTAAAGATTTCATTAAATGATAGTTCTTGTTTTTTTTTTTGAGCTAAAAATGGTAGTTCTAGTTAATACATATGATTAGTAAGCGTATTCTAGTAAAGATAATACCTATTTATTACAAATAACTAACTTAATAAACTTTTTTAGTCTACTCAAATTAGTCAACTAGTACTTATATTAAGAATCACACGTAGCATCAATATATACGTATAAGTACAATTTTTTTTTTCCATATTAGTGTGTTATGCGGACTGACTTCATATTTCCCCCCTAAAGGTGTGAACACATATATGTATGTGCTTCTAAATATAAGATTTAGTATGTATGTAGTTCTAAGTATAAAATTTGAAGGAGAATTCGCTTTGGTGAATTTATTTTGTCTACCAAATTTAATTTATTGATTGCCTATGGTAAAAGAGTTACAATACATATTATTAGAAAGGGTATTATAGGAAAACTAATATATATTTGTTATAAATAACTAAGTTAAATAATTTCTTTTTCGACAATATTTATGAGCTCTCTAATCACACATGATCATATATTCTATTTTTAAAATGTTAAAATTTAAGATTATTTAATTATAATCCATATAAAACAAAAAAACAAAACATGGCTATGTGTGGTTGGAAAACTTGATATGATGTATATAAGAAATTTGACATAATTTTTTTTCTTTCTTTGATATCTACAAATTAGTTACCCGATTCTTATATATTAAGTATTAGAGGTAATATTATTTTTTAAATTAAACCCTGAAACTAAGGCACTTTCTTTCTTTAATTATACTTTTTTTTAATGTTTCATTTCTAATTCTATCCCTATTAAATATATAGTAAAGGTAAAAAGAGGGGGAACAGGGGAAAGGAAATATAGTAGCATTTAATACTCTTTTTAATAAGAATAAAAAAAAAATTCTATCTATCTAATTAATGCTCTTACGTGAGAAACTCTTCTGAATGACAACGTATATCCATTTAGGATGTGAATGTTTATTATAATCTTTTGAGTGCATTACTAGTACTAGCAAAGTTTATCTTTATGGTGCGATATTGATAACTGGATCGCTGTGTCCAAATGTCGTGAAAATACCATTTTGTTTACATTAAAATATATAAATGTTGCCCCACAGAAAATTAAAATATCGGTGAACTTAACAAATGACTAGGACATAGTTTCCTTAATACAAGGAGATGACACCATAAAGTGAAGCCCACCCGAATAAAATAAGATTGGTATACGTATGACTCAATGAAATAAATCTCAAGGGTTAAGGTGCATCCAACATCCTGAAATATTTTTTCAGGTGCAACCAGTACCCTAAAGTATTTTGTGATGCATCCAATATCCTAAAGTATTTTTTAGGGGCACCCAGTACCTTGAAGTATTTTTTTTGTCTGGGTGCTGGATGCACCAAAAATATTTTTGGGTGCTGGATGCACCAAAAAAAAAACTTTGAGATGCTGGATGCACCAAAAAAATACTTGACGGTGCTAGATGCACATAAAAAAATATTTCAGGGTACTGGATGCACTACAAAATACTTTAAGCTATTGGATGCATCTGACAAAATATTTCGGGGTACTGGATACATCTTAACCCTAAATCTCAATCCAAAGACAAGTTTGAACATATGCCTACTTTTTTTATTTAAAAAATGAATATAATAATACTAGAAGTGGGCGCGCATGCGTCTTGTATATTATCATCTTTTCATTCATTTTTTTTCTTATTATTTATATTTACTTTCGATCCATGATCCTTCATAAAGTTTTCTTGATTTAATTTTGATAATGTTGGTTTATTAGATACTATCTCCAATTTTTAATGTAAGATTCACTTTATTAATTAAGAAACTGAATTACAAAGTAAATCTTTAATTTTATATTAAGAATCAGATATAGTATTTAATTTAATATGAAATATGAATATTCTCATATCTGATGTTGGTTGGAATTAAAAGTTGGAAATCAAAATTTGAGTATTTGTGCCTCTTCATTAGACCCGACACTTGTTCTATATAGGCATGAGAATTGTAAGTTTAAATATTTTGGTGCCTCTTTCTTGAATTGTGTGTGTGTGTGTGTGATATATCTATTCCCAACTTTCTACCCTTTTTTTTCAAAGAACTGATAGACCAAGTTTGATCCGAATATAGTCGGAAACAAATCCATCAAGTACCCATTAATCTCTTTGAAATTTGTGTTTTTCATAATAATTTATATCCACCATTTCTTTAGGCTAAAAAAATATCCACATTTTCTGGCCCACTTTCGAAAAGTCCAACTATTAATTTGGGCCGAAGGCCGAAATTTGTTCGAGTAACCCACATTCACAACAAGCTAAATAGATAAATTTAGGAGATCAAGAAAACTGAACAAATTACTTTAATATAAAATTTAATTGATTAATTTAGAAAGATTAAAAATTTTAAATAAATTAATTTAAATTTTTATATTTATCATTTTTTTTCAAACTAATTTACCTGACCTATAAACTGATATATAATCTAATAATACATTTAAATATTTCAAAACAATCATGTAACATATGCTGTAATTGAATTATAATGTACTCTTCTGATCCTTAATATAAAATCTAATTAACTAATTTGATTAGATTAAGAAAGTTAAATAAGTTAGTTAATTATAAGAAATATGACATGTTTTTTTTTAAAAACATTATAATCATCTTCCTTAATATCCCATCTCTCTCTTCTACTTGATTATATTTGAAGGAGTATTCAGAGGTAATTTAGAGAAAATTGATAAATATAAGAAATAGTCTTATATTTAAGGTCAAAATCAACTCAACAATTAAGTCCTATATTAAGGATTAGAGGAATAGTTTTCTTAGTCTCTCCAAGTTAGTCATATTAAAGATCAGATAGTATTTTTTTTTTCCCCAAAAAGATAACAAGCAAAGCTAATACATGCGAGAGCAAAATTATGAGATGTTTGTGTTCAACAGGTTCACAGCTGCGTGGCGTACAATCCTGGTCCACAATTTCTGACTCACAACATCAGAGTGAAGCCCGAGCTGGATGGCCTCGGAGCCCTAGGCGACGTCGGTTGGTATTGCATCCGGGCTATCCTTTGGGCCGTCGACTTCCAGCTCCCAACCTCCGTCCTCGCACTCCCCGGCACCGTCCACAACGACGCCGGAGTCATCCTCTCATGCGGCGCCTCCTTGCACTGGGCCGACGGCAGACTAGCCACCTTCCACTGTTCCTTCCTCTCCTACCTAAGCTTTGACCTCACGGCTCTGGGCACCAAAGGCTGCCTTCGGCTCCACGACTTCATCGTCCCGTTCGACGAGAACTTCGGGTACGGGTCCTTCTGGGAGGCGTCGCAGGTGGACTTCGCGAAGCAGGGCGATAAGAGGTGGTGCTCGGAGCCGAATCAGCATAAGGTTGAAAGTGAGGAGGCTCAGGAGGTGTTGATGGTGGCGGAGTTCAGTCGGCTAGTGGAGGCGGTGGAGAGAGGAGGAGGGAAGCCGGAGAAGAGCTGGGGGGTGGTGAGTAGGAAGACTCAGGTGGTGGTGGATGCTGTGAGGGAGTCCATTGAAAGAGGCTACAAGACTGTTGAACTCATTACCGGTAAGTCAGCTAGTTAGTTAGGATATGGTTGGATTAATGTGTGTGTACAAAGACAATAATTTTGGTTTATGAGCTTGTTATAACTAGCTATATCGGTTTGAGGATTATTTCTTCATCAGCTATCAATTATATACTCTCATACTTGTGCTTGATATTATTCATAATGATAGGGTAGCAGGTAAAGTGGACTGAGGTATACAGAGGGATATATGTTACTCGAATTTCGGAGTACATTAATTAGCAATATTTAGTTTAGTGCCTTTAGTTACGTAGGAGGGTCATGGTTGCTTCTTGGAATATAAAAGGTTGGATAGGACATTTTCATTAGCCTTGAACTAACATACTACTCCGCCATGATATCGGACCTAATTCACAGAGAGTAGATTAATAATACTAGTTAAATTAGTTAATATGATATGTTTTTTTCTAAAATATTCTATGTATCTTCCTTAATTCTCTCTCTTCCGACCTTTCTTGCTTGATTATTATCGGGAGAATATCAATAGGATTTATTTAAGAAAAATTAATAAATAGTACCTTCGATCCTAATAATTATAAGACCTCATTCAATATCAATATGGTTAATTCAGGAAAAATTGATAAATACTACCTCTGCTCCTAATAATTATAAAATCTCATTTATAGTCTACAAACGAGGTTTTATAATTAGAATTGAATGTAATATATGAAATAGTTATTACATATAGAACCAACATTGACTCCACAATTAGGTCATATTAAAAACTGGGAGAGTATAATCTTTGAATATTTTATCTAAATTAAATAATTCAAGAATGATTAGGACTCACCAAAAAGATTGGAGTAAAAAAAATTTTTTTAAAAAAAAAACAAAGGAACTGATTATATTATCTTTTTTCCCCTTTTAGTTCATTTCACCTTGTAGCACGACTAGCTAGGACTCAAATAATTTTTCCCATATTTGGTTACACTAAGCTATTTTGGGCGTCAAAATTAGCTTTTATTATTAATGAATTTTACATATAAGAAGGGATAAAAAAATTACACGGGCAAAAAAATTAAAAAATTGAAAAAAGTCCCCATTGAAAATTTTATCAGTGAGAAAGGAGTCAAGTCAAAGTACCTGTAACTTGTCTGGCAAAAAAAAGTACCAATATTTTTTGCTTGCTATGTATAAAATTTATCAAATTTTTTGCTTAAAAATATGGAATACGCATAGATTATGAAAAAGCTTATTTATTTAGTGTATTATATTATACAAATAAACCATACTTTATTAAGTTTCTTACACATGACTACATATCTTTTTTTTATAAATATAATCATTACATTTAATTACAAACTCACATGGAAGAAATAAGATATGCAATTGAAGAATTTGACCTAAATATTTTTCTATACCAATATTTTGCATTCATGTGAACATTTGTCATTTTCTAAATAAGAATAATGAGTGATCATTTGACGTCACGAAATAAAAATATGTTACTTGTCAAAACACCTCAAGATTTGTTAGATCTACATATAACAAATATTTAGAATTATACACTAATGACATTTATATAAGAAAGAAACGGACGTGTTATTATTATATCCACGTCTATATTATATATGATAATCTGCCCCGCAAAAGTCATATGTTAAAGAGTAAGAAATTTCATGCAAATCAATCTTGACCATGGAATTAAAATTCAGCCAAAGTGTCATGTTAATTATCTATTTATCCTTGATGCTTAATTATTAACATGATTTGTGATTTTTTTCCCCTTTACGTGTCACTGTCAAAATGTTAAAAGGACAAAAATGAAGTAATTATAATAAAATAATAAATTGACAATTTTTTTCAATCAATGTTACAAAATATATTGCTTAGTTTTGCATCAAACTATTAATCAGGATGAATGCGCTTTTTAATATATCAATATATAATAAAAATATTTCGCGTGAGTCTGACAATTTGTCATTTGTCGTTTGTCGTTTGTTAATTAAGAACGGGTGATCATTTGATTCTCACGAAATCAAACTATATCTAATCTAAGAATATTATTATTTTTTCACGTCTAATGATGATTGAGATCCTATAAACACCAGCCTTATTAGTTAATCAAAATCCGAGAATACTAATTATTTATTAATATAAGAGATAGATAGATATTTAATTTGGTTCCAAATATAAGATTTTAATATAATTTATTTTTTATATTTATTTATTTTGCTCACAAGTAATATCTATGATGATTTTAAGAATTGTTTCAATCCATATGATTAACAAGTATATTTTAAAAAATGCAACACATATTCAGTACAAATAATTAACCTAATTAATTTTTTAATATTTGTAAATTAGTGATCTACCTCTTATATTAACTTTTCATATTAAAAATAGGATGTAATACTATCTTCGATCATAAATATAAAAGCTAGCTGACTAATTTGAGTAGATTAAGAAAACAAGTTAAGTTAATTATTTGTAATAAATAGATATTGTCTTTTCTAAAATATCCTTGTTAATCAAATTTATTGGCTAGAACTACTATTATTATAAAGATTATCTTAAAAAAATGAATAAATATGAAAGACAAATTGGATTAAGATTTTATATTTAGTATCAAAATAAGAGTCAAACGAGGTCTTATATTAAGGATTAGAGATAATACATACTGATAATCTTTACACACACGTACTCATGCATCACAGTCAAACACTCAAGATTAACTTGATATATAAATAATCAACAAATACTATATATCTAGAATGGAAAAAAATATTTTAAAGAAATATAAAACATGGTGTTATAATATATATAGTAGCATATCCATATCCGTAGTTTTTATCCACTAAAAGTCATATACTAAAGGATAAAATATTTGAATCTAATCTGTGTATGTATCATTCTTGACCGTGGAACTAAAATTCAGTCAAAATATCATGGTAGGTACTTATCCTTCGTGCCTAATTATTAAGGTGGCTTTTGACCTTTTTTTTTATGTCATTGTCAAATTAATGATATGCACTAATGATATATATATGTGTGTGTATATATATATATATGAGTGAATGACCTGTCCAAATATCCATATATAAGAATGAAGTCCCTCCCATTCATTTACTATATCTCTTATAATCAAAAGCTTATCCACGAATATAATTGAAAGTAATCATACAATACCGTGAAAATATACTTATATTTACTATTTAGACTACAGATTTTAGTTAAAGTATAATGAAAGTTGGTCACATATATTTAACAGAAGAAAAAATACGAATAAATGATGATGATGACGATGATGATGATGCACCCGTTAGCATCCTATCTTGACAACATGTCTAAAAAATTTTTTTTTTGTAGAACTTGACAACTAAGAATGATATATGAGAAGAAATAGAAAATAAAAACATCTCTTAAAACGGGACGAATCATATTTCATTTTATTTGGAATATTTTGACATATATTTCTAATCACAAATAATTTTTTAAAAATTCTAAGAACATAATAAATCTAGACCATTCAAAATTAAATTTAATCTTATTGTCTCATTATCTCAAAATGCCACCCCAAATGATATGTTGAATTGGTCCACAATCTTTGTTAGTTTAAAGTCGCCCAATAAATATGAAGATGCTGACTTTCGAAGAGTGGCTTTTGGCTCCAAAGAAAGGCCACTTGCTTCTTCTGGGATTAACGAACGAAGCATTCACCTATCTATATACGGAATATTTATGAAACTCTATCCCATCCTGAGAAGTGCAAGACTTGAAACCATAATTATATATCTATATATATAAACACACACACGCACACTTGAAGCCTTCTAAGCAGGGACTTGCATGAAGAGACGCAGAGAGTGTCGTGCAGCCAAGGATGACTTGCCGGCCGGCTGTCGGCGGTCACCTGAAGACCCTCCTTTCCATGACTTTTTCCGGCAAGTGACCTTTGGCTATACTGGGCTCTCTTCTTCTCTTGCAAGTCCTCCATTTACGTTCTATATGAGGATCAGATCGGAGCTCCGATCGATGGCGGCGCAGCCAAGAGCAGTGAGTGTCTCTAATATATGTATCAAGTCATGATGTCAATTATGAACTCACTTTCATAAACTAAAACTAGCTATATAAAGATTCTCACATGCTTGAGTTCTATGTTCTGATTTAATCTATTATATTGAATCTATTTCATTTTTGGTTTTGTAGGGAAGGAAGAAGACGAGGGTAGGGTAGAGGATTTGATGATAAGAATGAAAAGTTAGAGGTTGATTTTGACTGGGGGGTCGTTTTCTTTGGTCCGGTGAGCTCAGTGAGTTTTCTTTTTGTTTTTCTCCCTTCTTCTTCTAAATTTTCTTAATAATGGTAAACATTTTGGTTTTTAATTTTGATTTTTTAAATTACAAAAGTGCAGGCCTTAACCATTTGAGATTACAACAAGTAGTGGGCTGAATTCGACTTTTGTTGAATGGTGATGAGAGGTTACTTGCCGACTCAATTAAGAAGCCCACATGAATTTCGATTACATGTGCATGGTCAAACAGATGATGGAACCGAATTCAGGTAAAGTGATAAAGAAGAAGAAGAAGACATCAGATAAAATAAAATAAAAAGATATTATAAAAATAAGACTTTTGTTTCTGTTTTGTTTTGGCCGTTTTGTTTGACCTTTTTGAGCGAAGTTTTTGTCCAGATTTGAAGCCTTACGGAAGGCTGCTTTATTGCTAAACGACGTGTTTTGCTCCAAAACAAAAAAAGAAAGAAAACTATTCTTGCGTATTTGGGTCCACCTAGCTGTACATGGGCTCATTTTCTATCCTCTATGGCCCGCTCTAACGCTACCTGGCTCGGCAGAACGAGCTTTTTCTTTTTACTTTAATTTTGATAAAAAAATAAATATGCTGCATGAAAATAAAATGAGGCAGAACTGATATTTTTCTGTCATTTATTTTTCATGGTTTATTTCTTTTTCTAAAAATAAAATGAGTTTTGAGACATATTTTAACTCTTAATGCAACTCGTCTAAATTTTTCCCGTATTAAAATAACAATCCCTCCTAACGATAACAATAGAGAAGCAAGTGTAATGTAAATATATACCTCATTTTCCTCTCTGGCATCCATTATATATGAAGAACATAAAAATAATTTTCATTCTTCCACTTCTAATATTACATGATCCCATTTCCAGCTTCTTCCCTGTTCATTCTATGGCAACCATTTTCAAATTGGGCCTCA